AGTTTTAGCAACACTAAATTCATTATTTTTCAAACCATGTTTCGCCATGAACCTTGTTGACTGGTCCATTAGGTGTCTAATAGCTACTGTTTTACAAATATTTTTAAAATTCCCTACAGATGATGCAGTTTTCTTAAAATCTCTCAGTTTACCTTCACATCGAATCACCCACATATGACTTAGTGGACCAAGCATTTTGATAATTCGTGGATAATGAATGAGATTATGAAACTTTAAAGTTAAGCCACACTTAAATGCATAACAGTATTCTTGTAAAAACTCAGCAATGATAGAAGCAAAGGATATCAAATCAGGTTTGCTAAAATGCAAGCCAAATGAATAAAGGACAACTTGCCTTAACATTAAAAAAATAACCCAAATGTTGTCATCAAAAGGAACTAAATCTCCAACTAATAAAGGAAAGCTTAGAACTAAATTGAACATTTCAATTGCACCAATAATAATAGAACCATTTTTTATTTGAAACTCAGTAGGACAAGAAGGAATTGATGAGTGATCATATGAAAAATTTCTTATTCTGCTACTTATGTCACTAAGATTAAAGAATTTTTGTTGAAATACTAGATAATTTAACATTTTATGGAAAAAGTATTTGCAAACGCCTTCTGATAAATCATGCATAATATCGCAATAAATGTTATCATTGACATGAAATGATGGAATTTTGTTAAAACAACATTCTTCCTTTATGCCATTAAGAGAACAATTATTTAAAGAAACATCATAATTGTAACATTCTTTAGTTCTAAGTAACTCAACCGATTCAACAAACGTACAGTCAAAGTTTTTGCGCTTTATTTTGCATATTCTGCATGGGTATGTAGCAGTAAAACTTTCCACATAACCCAACACTCCATTTAAACCTAGATTGTCACCAATAATTTGAACAAGCACAACAAATATTTTAAAATTGTTTTCGTCAATTTTTATAGTAAAACCTTTAGTTTCTAATTCTGTCATTTCTTGTATATATATAGAAAATGCATCTTTATTTGAATATTTATTGCGATCAGAAGAGTTTATAACTGCACTTAACAAAATATTACCGAGTTTTGAGTTATGTTGTGGTTTTATGCATTTTAGAATTGTACACAATGCTCCAATTTTGTGAATAGTGCTATGAGAACCAAGTGGATTAGCGGTTTCTAAATCATCAAAAAAACAAAAGACTGGTATTAAAAGAGTATTTTGTGAATGAGCGTATTTAAGACGTAATTGATGATTTTGCCACAACTTTCCGTCTTTAAAGTCTGAAACTAAACCATTATTAGATGGTTTCATATGATTTCTAATTTCATTAAGTACACCAGGAAGACAAAGGAAAACTTCAAGACACTGCTTTAATGAAACATATTGTCCTGTTGCAATACAAGTCGAGCAAACTATTCCTTTAGCTGTTCTTTGAGTGCTTATAAAATGACCTATTGGGCAGGCTTGGTCGGGAAGCGGGAGCGATCGCTCTCGATTGCTGACCACGTAAATAATATTTAGTTGCGAAAAGCTGGCCAGATTTTTCAGTCGCTTTGAGAACGTTTTAAAAAGCAAAAAAAAAAAAAGCGCTAAAGATTAATTGGACCAAGAGAGACAATTACAAAAAAAAAAAAAAATTAGGTAAATAAAATATCTTTAAACGCGAAAAAGCTAAATAAATTACGTTTAAATTAAATACTTTCAAACTAACGCTCTTATAGAACTTTTTTTATAAAATTAGGCGATGTTTTTTATTAAAAGTAACAAATTACGATTGTTTAAAGAGGAAACAAATATTCTTTATTTAACAAAGTATGCAAGCTTTAGTTTAATTTCAGCTAAACAATTTTATAAATAATATAGTTAATTTTTTCAATACCTTTTTTATGTTTCGCGTAGTTTGAAAAGTTTAACATATTTGAAGCATTTCTTCTTAGTAAGATAAGCAAATGAAATAATTAAATCATTGAATTACTATAGAAATTAAATTAACAATATAGAAATCAACTTAAGGTTAAAAACTTCATGACGAGGAAGCGAAATTGCTTAACAATATCTCTGGTGATGTTTAGTATGTGGGTTTTTTAATTTTAATTAGTATTTAAAGCAGAAAAAAGTATAACGAGTTTTTAGAATGGCAACTTAAGCGAAAATAATTAGAGTTAGTAAACCATTATCTAGAAACTTTTTTTTATATCTAATTAATTGCTATATATATTTGTGTTCTGTCGTGACCTCAGGCGCGGTGCTTGTTCATCTGCGAGTTACTTTGTACGCGTTGTTTGTGTTTAGTAACTAGAAACTTCTTATATGTTTGTTACGTAATTAGTTTTATTAACTATAACGATTATAACTTCATTGAAAACGCAACTATTTTTGTAAGTCTTTGTTTAAATCGTAAAAATTGCTTTAAAAGATACATTACGATAAAAAACAGATAAACAAAATTAAATTTACTTAAAGAATACATACTTTTTTAATAAAAAATAAGAATATATTAATAAAATCTATAGTTTATAACAAACTTTTCACATTTTGACAATTTAATATATATTTAAAACTTTAATTTTTGTAAACAAATAATATATTTATTCTTAAAACAAGTGATGCTAGAAATCTCAAAACGTAAAAAATCGTTTCTAAAAACATTTCAACAGATTACTCTTCTTAATTTCGCTAAGTCTGCGTATTTTTTGAACCAATAGAATTAGTTTCTTCGTTAATTTAACGGGTTTTTAGTGTTCGCGAATATTCTTTTTATTCTTTCTCATAAAGATGTTTTGAGAACATTTAAGTTTATTATGTTTCCATGTATGTCCGTAAAATAATTTTTTTTTTTTCGAACATAAACTTAAATGTTCTCAAAACGACTAAAAAACCTGGCCAGTTTTTCGCAACTAAATATAATTTCCGTGGTCAGTATTCGAAAGCGATCGCTCCCGCTTCCCGACCAAGCCTGATTGGGTATGATTTTGGTTTTATATAATATCCTTTCTTTTCAAAGTATTTTGTCTGTTTATGTAAACTTTCTAAACCTTGAAAAGGTTTTTTAAGGCGCGAGATGTTGTTGCAGAAATTATTAAATTCATCAATTTGGAGACCATGTTTGTCAAAAATTACTTGGGCTTCATTACAAATTCCTGTTACAATTGACGTAATTAAGTCTGAACATGCATCAACAATTTTCAATGTAGTGCTTAGTGGCAGATTAGGATAACTTCTCAGTTTTGAAATAAAATAGGCATAGTCTTCAAAAATACCATTGCAATTGTCAAACCTAATACCAAAGTTTCTCATATTCACTATGCTAACAGATTCTGTACTGTGGATACCTGAAGAGAAGTCACTAGAAGAGGAGCAGCACGGCTTATAATCTTGGCTTTCCAAAATATGTTCTAAAAGAACTTCTTTATGAGATTTTTCAATATGTTTTATAAGACTTTGGAAAGAATTATATTCTAGCGGACAACCTTCCTGTCTGCAAACTAATCTCTCACCATAACTATGTTTATTATGAAAAACTTTTAAATGGCACTTATACGAATTGCTAGATCTTGCAGTATATTTACAATAAACACAGTTAATCATAGTTAAAGTGATATTAAAAGCAGTCGGTAGACAAACAATGAAAAATTATTGGCGACATAAGTTTTGTTTTTTCACTCGAGATTTGCAATCCCGCGGCGCTTTTGGTGAAAGTAACCAAATATATTTTGTAAATTTTACCAAATTATTTTGTTGTTTCATGCGTGAATACAAAAAGCAAATAAAGAAAGTAACCAAATAATTTGGTTAAAATAACTAAATCATTTTGGTAAAGTTCACAAAAGGTTTAGCTTTTTTCACCAAACATATTTGTAGTTTTTACAAAAACTACCTAACCAAACATGTTTGGTTAAATTAACAAAGCGTTTTTTTGCAGTGTACAATTTAACTTCAGCGTAATAAATAAATTTCAGCCGACGACACGGGTTTTAAAGTGGAAAGAAGTTCTCTATATTTAAAAACTTTTTTAAAAAAAAAAGGAAAACAAATAAGGTCTTTTACAAAAAAAGTAGAAGTTTGAGGCATGTGCCCACCTGGACCCCGGTGTCGTCGGCTCTGCAGCGTCGCTGAGTGGCGTTGTTAAAAAAATTGAAAACTTTTTAAAATTAAAAAAAAAAATTAAATTTCATATTAGCTTTTATATTAGCCTTAATTATAATAAACATTTTGATTCGCTTTTGAAAAGATTCTTGTTCAGCTGCATTTAACCTCATTTTAAATAATTTTACTTCAAACAATAAAGTTTATATTTTATAGAACGTTTATGTCTATGCATAAAACCACAAAAACAAATTAATATGCTAAAATAATCTTAGAAAATATTTTTACTGTAAATTATTTCATTTAAAAATTTTCTGGTTGCTGGCAGCAGAGAGTAACAGAAAAGAAAAAAGAAAAAAGAAAGTGCAATCAATGGAGTCTAATTATACAAATAAATTTAGTTCTGATACAGGTTTTGATACATTTTTTAATTCAAGTTTATAGGTTTGTGGCTATTACCAAATATAACCACCATAATTTAACAGTAAAGTACCAGCAAAATCTCCAATAGATGTGTATGCTGGCAACGTTGCTATTGTGGGTACAATAAGTGACATTATACCGAATCATTTGGTAAAATATCAGTTATATTTAATATGACAAGTTAGTTTGGTTTTTTCAGCGCGTTTTTTAAAATCGCCATTTTTAATATATGCAAAAAAATCGTGACCAAGTTATCAACAACAAAAAGATATGCGTGGTCAGAAAATATATATGCGACCGCACGCGTTTCCTGAGAAGGCCTGACAAGCCTCCAACACACATTTCTAAATCAAAATTTTATCTTGAAAGTTTATATAATTTGAATTCTTTAGCTAAATCTAATGATTTAAAATTTTATAGAAAGGATGATTAAATAATGACGAATAAAAATCATATGAAATAAAATGAAATAAATCAAAAAAAAAAATAAAAAACAATACTTTATAATCTAATAAATGTTGAAGGAAGCTTGGATCTAGCCTGCTAAACCAGTACGTAGATAACTACACCAGTTATTGACAATAATTACTATAATAACTAATAAACAGATAATAACAATAGGTACTATAACAAACTAAAAACACAACATTAAATAAGTTCTTTATCGATTAAACTTTTGAAGAAGTTGCAGTTTTTGCTGACAATGTTAACTAGATAATCAATATCATTTAGTATTTCCAGTATCTTTCTATGACTTCTGCATTTAATTGATTACACATACTTAATAACTTTTTGCATGAGTTTTAAACTTTTTTTAACATGCTAACTAATGGCAACTGTATACTTTACAAATTTGTATATAAAATCCAAACCATTAAAAAGTTGGCAAAAGGTGATTTAAACTCATTTACATACTTTGGTGTCACCAGCCTAACAATGCATCTATTTGTTTGTGCGGAGCAACAAAGAGTTTATTCGAATTGTGTCACTCAAATAAATCTGATCAATTTACCACAACTTATTTCTAATCAACTTATTTCTAAATAAAGTAAAAGAAAGTAACTAGATTAGAATATGAACAATTTAAACTTTTCAAAAACTGTATTTTATCTTAAAAAAAATTATTTTTTACCTCTAAATTATTTCTATGTGAGTTATAATTCATAATTAAAACTATATAATTATTTTAATTATTTCAATGACATTATTACGGATTGTTCATATTACATTCCTAACAAGTTAGAAGAATTTTCTTATAAAAATACAAAAAACAATAATTTTGATTAACTAAGAATTCTTCGTATAAATATCAAAGCCTTTAACCGCATTTCGAAATTCTTCTCAATTTGTTACAAAAAACCAACAATTTTTTAATTATAATTTATTAAACTGAAAGCTGGATAAACAAAAAGATTAGAATACTACTTCAAATTTTAATCTTTCTTACTTTGAGAGAATTTCTCAATAGAGACTGATCAATAAACGCGGTGGCGGAGTTCTTATTTATGTAAAGAAAAGTATTGCACATTATGTTAGGAATGATTTAAGTGTTTCTAACGACAACAAACAAATTTTAACGATTGAAATGCCTAACAATCAATCAAAAAACATTTTATTGAGCTGTTGCTATAGACCTCCGAACGGTGTGGCTGAGAACATAAACATGTATTTTGAGGAAAACCTTTTCAAAAAAGACATCCTTGAAAAAAAAAAAAAAAGGATTTTTTTGTAGAGGATTCCAAAATGAATTGTTTTCACTACTCTACGGGCATTAAATTTAAAAATATTTATGATTCTATTTTTGAAATGGGAGCCATTCCTTTGATAAATCGCCCGACCAGAGTAACTCCAAAATCAGCTTATCTAATCGGTATCATTCTAACAACTGATATTTTAAACGGTGACTTAAATAAAGGTATTTTAAAAACAGACATATCTGACCATTTCCCCATCATTTTTTACTATTAACTTTAACTCTAAAATAAAAACAAACATAAAAATTAGATTACGTAACTATAACCAAAAAAACGTTGAGCAATTTAAAACACAGTTATCATTGCTACATTGGAAGAACATCGACTTTAGTGATAACGCAAACGACATTTACGAAAATTTCTTTAATACATTTTACTCTCTTTATGATGCTAATTTTAGTTTATATGAAAAAACAAAAAATATTAATTTTCTCTGGGTTACAAAAGGTTTTAAAAAAATCATCAAAAGTTAAGCAGAAATTATACATAAAATATCTAAATAACAAATTATTCGCCAATGAAAAAATATACGAAGATTACAAAAATCTTTTTGAAAAAAATCGAAAAACTTTACTATTCTAAAGTTCTCAATAAAGCAAAAAACAATTGCAAACGCTCCTGGGAAATAACAAATGAAATTACCGGTAAATCGAAATTATGCTCAGGTTCCCTGCCACACATGATCAAAGTGGATAATAATAATATAAATAATTATCAAACAATAGCTCACGAATTTATTAAATTTTTTGTTGAAATTGGCCCTAAACTAGGGTTGTTCGCCGAAAAACAAAACTTGCGAAAATTTCGCATCTTTATCTACCGTAATAGAATTGTTATTGCGGAAGTTGCACATGCAAAAATGCACATTTCGTAACGCGCTATACGAAAATATAAATAAATAAAATTCCGTAATAAAGCATTGCGAAAGAAAACTTGCGAAACAAATCATTTCGTAAGAATACTTACTAAATAGTTCCTTACGGAAAAAACATTCCGGAATGTGCAGTTACAAAAAAGACGCAAAAGATTTTATGTTACGATATATTTAAGATATTAGCTGTTAACAGTTTAAATGTTTATACAAATATACCTAATATATATATATATATATATATATATATATATATATATATATATATATATATATATATATATATATATATATATATATATATATATATATATATATATATATATATATATATAATATATATATATATATATATATATATATATATATATATATATATATATATATATATATAAATATGTATATATATATATATATATACATATATATATATATATATATATATATATATATATATATATATATGTATATATATATATATATATATATATATATATATATATATATATATATATATACATACATATATATATATATATATATATATATATATATATATATATATATATATATATATATATATATATATATATATATATATATATATATATATATATATATATATATTTATATATATTTATATGCAGTTATTAAAGTAAAAGAATATATTGATTGATTGATAGTATTGCCTGTAGCTTATTAATTATTGCTCTTCTTCGCCTAGCTTTTTTATTTTTCTTAAATCTAAAAGTGTAAAATACGGTTAGAAACTTTAAAATTACTCTAACATCTACTTCTGAGTTTCATAATTATACAATAAGATATATATTTATGATAATATACAAAAAATGCTGTCAGTTTGATGGCTTTTTTTTTTCTAGTCAACTGACAAAACATAACTTTTTATAACAAAATCTATAATTGCTAAAATAAAATAAAAGTTGTAAAAAATATAATAAAAATCAACCCAAATAGTTAAAAATAAACAAAACTATAAACTCTAAGTACAAAAGACTTCAGTTAAGTACATAGACTTTGACTTTACTACATTCCCTTCGTTATATTTTCATAATATCGATCAAAAAACAAATTTTGTACATATAATTTTATTTAAGTCACAGCATCCTGAACCAATAAGAATTAATCTCAGAATAAGTTTCTTGTATTTACCCGGAATTTACAAATAGATTTTCCGACATAAATCGCAGCAAAGTGTAACAGTTTTTTTTTTTTTTTTTTGTTTGTTTACATTTGACAAAATATATATAAATTACATATTTTTTCAAATACAAAAAAGGCCTCTAAAAGAAGATTTCAATGATCTTATCGTCAGAAGCCTTTTACAAAAGAGAGCACGTAAAATATCATTAAAACGCCTTTTTACAATAAGAGTACGTAAAAAATCATATAAAAACAATAAATCGTACTTAGATAAATGAAAATAAATTGTAAACAAGTATAAAACAAAAAATAAAGTCAGACGAAATATCGTCCTAAACACACTAATTGTTGTAACCCAACTAAAATAACCCAAATAAAATAACTAAAATTGTAACCCAAATAAATTATATGTACTATGTTCGTAATCCGTCTCTATAATACGAAGTAAGTGTTTGATACCATTCAATCTAGGGTCAAAATCGTAAAATCTTTCAAACCTGGCATCTGATTTATGATATACATTAAATTAAATAATCCACTTTGTAATCCATTTTTCTTTGTTTCAAATAACACTTCTATTATGTTAATAATTTTTGTCGTATATGTATGTACATTTTAAAATCAATTGTTCAATTAGATTAGTTTGATAATATGACGTTCTATGTTCATTGGTTTAGGTTATTGCTAGTTAGATGTCAATGAGTTTTCTTTATTTAAATCCAATAATTTCATCAAAGTTTTTGTTTATACTGTATCACTTACTTGTATCGTAAAGCTATATTATATTTATACTGTATCACTTACTTGTAAGTATTAATAAGTAGTATCATAAAGCTATATTCTAAATCCATAACAAAATCTATAATTGCTAAAATAAAATAAAAGTTGTAAAAAATATAATAAAAATCAACCCAAATAGTTAAAAATAAACAAAACTATAAACTCTAAGTACAAAAGACTTCAGTTAAGTACATAGACTTTGACTTTACTACATTCCCATCGTTATATTTTCATAATATCGATCAAAAAACAAATTTTGTACATATAATTTTATTTAAGTTACAGCATCCTGAACCAATAAGAATTAATCTCAGAATAAGTTTCTTGTATTTACCCGGAATTTACAAATAGATTTTCCGACATAAATCGCAGCAAAGTGTAACAGTTTTTTTTTTTTTTTTTTTTGTTTGTTTACATTTGACAAAATATATATAAATTACATATATTTTCAAATACAAAAAAGGCCTCTAAAAGAAGATTTCAACGATCTTATCGTCAGAAGCCTTTTACAAAAGAGAGCACGTAAAATATCATTAAAACGCCTTTTTACAATAAGAGTACGTAAAAAATCATATAAAAACAATAAATTGTACTTAGATAAATGAAAATAAGTTGTAAACAAGTATAAAACAAAACTTGAACATACATGACAATAAATTTTTTTTTTTTTTTTTTTAATCTCAAGTTAAAATAAAGATGTTTCCAATAGAAAGAACGAGGTCTTTTAATTAATTTTTTAAAACAGAATAAGTTAGGGTAAGTCGATGTTAGGCAAAATATATTATTCCTCAAGTTAAACTTGAAAAAAAATCCATTTTGTTTTGCTTATATTTAAGGTTATTTTGTTACTTTTAAACTATTTAGATATGTTTTTAAGTTTTTTGTTCATCATGGAGAAAAGTAGATAGATGTCACTGTTAGAGAGAAATAAGTTTGTGTCATCAGCTAACATAATACTTAGAAGATTTTATGCTTTATGCAAGTCGTTGATATATATTAGAAACAAAAAAATGTCCTAATATGGAACCTTGCGGAACACCACAAGAAACATTTAAAAACTGTTTATGATTAAGTTCATTACGAGAAACAAATTGTTTTCTGTTCGATAAATAACTTTAAAATTATTTAATTACTCTTTCATTTATTCCGTAAAAATTATGTTTATAAAACAAAATATCATGACTGACATTAGCAAATGATTTTGAAAGATCGTTAAAAATTCCTAATGAACGCGGAATTACATTTTTTCGTACCGAATGTTACAAAACATTTAAAATCGCCAATGTTCATTTCGCAAAAGCCACTTCCGAAATTTAGCATTTTGCAAGTTGAGATACGAAACAAAACTATTTTGCAACATACGAAAGTAGCGGTTTCGGAAGTCGCACTTGCGAAACAAACATTTTCGCCCAACGACGTTTTGAAGTCTATAAAGAAAATTTGTTTGCCAGACTGATTTTAATTGTAAAAATTAACATCTTTAAATCCCAAAATGTTTATAATGATTTTTATAACTCAGTATAATAACTATTAAATTTTTATGGTTTTATTTTTAGAAATATTGATAAAAAAAAAAGTTCTTTCGAAACGAATGTATTTCGGATCACAACATACGAAAGAATTCTTAACGGAAACAAACTTACGAAACGTACCATAATAAATATATACAACGATGTTTTTTGAACTCATTATGTATATTAAAAATAAGAATGATGGGTAGGAATATACATGTTTTTTTTTTTAAAGCATATGAAATTTTTGAAACAGGTTCGAATATGCTTAAGCAAATAGTAAAAA